TCACTGGGGAGGGGCCTGGCTCTTCATCTTGGCCTCAGTTTCCCTGTTTGTGAAGGAGGGGACAATGCCCACAGCCCAGGTCTGCAGGGGTGGAGCTGAGGCTGTGAATGCAAGCTGAGCCTGAGGCAGAGGCCCAGCTCCACAGGGAGCCAGGGAGCCAGTGGGGGAGGGGCGGCAGCCCCTGGACCTGGAGCCTGAGCCCCCCTCTCCCAAGGGAGGGAATTGCTCTGCCTCCCTGGTGTCAGGGAAGGGCACACAGGCAGACTGTCACATGGGCGTCCAGATGCCAGAACTCACTTTCCCTGCACACACAGGAGGAGGAGGGGCCTGCGGATGGACATCCCCAGGGACAGCCCTGAACCACTGAAGATCAGGGACACTGGGCCCCTCCCCCACAACCCTGGGTCACTCTGCCTTGTGTCTGTGCCCGGATGGGGACAGAGGCTGTGACCTGAGCTAAGGAATAGAATGGGTGGGGCTCATCTTAAGCAGTGACCTTGTAGCCTTCAGTACTTTTCCAAGTAGCATGCACCCCGTCTGTCCAGTGCTGTCCTGGGGTGCACTTTGGGCACCCTCCAAGGCTCCCTATGCCAGGCTCACCTGTGCCCCCACCCTGTGGGGTCCGGGGCTCTGGTTCCCCAGCAGTGCCCACGCAGCCAGGATGGAGCAGCCCCGGCCACGCTAGCACTTCCTACTCAGGCTCACTGGGCCTGTGTCAGACCCTCCCTCCACTCTCCCAGGGCTCGGTCTGCAGACGCCCTGGTGGGGCAGAGGAAAGCCAGGGAGAAAGAAAGGGATCTGGGTCCAGTGTCTCTGTCACTGCGCCATCTGCAGCCTCCCTGAGCCCAGCTCTCACACAGTGAGCTCGATAGAGACAGGTGTGCACCTAGAACCAGTGTGCGGGACGCCTCACAGGGTCACGTCCACAGTGCGTGAGTGATACCTCAAAGGAAGGCTCCATACAATAACACATATGAAAGAGAAGACAGGCAAGAAGGAAGTGCTTGGGGCTGGCACTGAGGCGTGGTGGGTAAAGCTACCACCTGCTGTGGCCAGATCCCATTTGGGTGCTGGTTTGAGTCCCGCCTGCTCCACTTTGGATCCAGCTCTCTGCTATGGCCTGGGAAAGCAGTAGAAGATGGCCCAAGTTCTGCACCCACCTGGGAGATTCAGAAGAAGCTCCTGGCTCCCTGTCTCAGATCACCACAGCTCTAGCCATTGCTTTCAATTGGTGAGGGAACCAGTGGATATAAGGGTGATTGAGAGAAAGACAGTATAACTCTGACTTTGAAATTAATAAATAAATCTTTAAAAAATGTATTTAAAAAAAGTGTTTGCAATCACAAAGAATTGGTGTTGGTGACACATGAGGACCTGCTTGTCGTGACAGGACCTCAGAATCCACAGCTGCAGACACTGCCACAGGCAGAGACCATGACGCGACATCCTGCAGGACACCCACACGGCCTGGCCACACGGACGCTCCACGTTACAGGGAAGAGGGGGCCCATGATGCGACCCCAGCACCAACACCGCAGCGTCTGCAGGGACAGCACTCATCCTGCCCACTGGCCTGTGCGGTGAGAGCCCTCAGTGCCGCCGCACAGGGGGCCGGGGCACGGCCTTCCTAACAAGCCAGGTACACTCGGCCTCTGCATGAACCCGCCCACTCCCAGCTGTGTCCACCAGAGACCCTCTCGGGGCTGCGTGTGCAGGGTGTGTGCACACCTGCTCTGAGACCCCTGGGAGTTGTGAAAGCAGAGGCACCGTGCCCAAATCCTGGGTGTCCATGCTCGGACACCACCCTGTGGAGACAGGAAGGGGCGGTTCCCATGTGCACTGTGACAGCCGAGGGACCCAGGTCTAGAGTGGAGCAGCCTCCAGGATCAAGTGACTGCAGTGAGCCCGCCCAGGTCGCTCTGTGCCACATGTGCTCTGCTGGTTACCACACCCACGCTGCCTCCTCACAGCCTGTGTCTCCTCACAGATAGTGGCCCCACACAGACGCTGCACGGCCAAGGACACCAGGCACGGACAGGAGAACCAGGACTCCAAGCAGGGCGGCCTGGCCCTGACCTGGGTTCTTAACCACGGTCGTCCTCAGCTCCTGATTGGACACACGGATGCGCAGTAAGAGGTCTGGAAAGAGACTCCCCAGGGCGCTGGGTCAGGAGCATGCGCCCTGCGGCTTCCCCTCTGTGCAGCGTGCAGTCGTGGGACTGGGCTTTGGGAAGACAGAAACAAGTTCTGCGGGGTAAATCAGAGGTCCTGCCGCCCTGCCCCAGGAGGACCCCCACAGCCCCAGGCCTGCTCCCAGCTGTGCCCAAACTCACACCCCTAAAGTCCCCCACACCAAGGCAAGGCCGCGCTCAGCGTTTCCTGGGACCCAGGTGACCACTACAAACTCTCCTGATACGGAACACCTGCGTCTCCCTGGGGAGATGCCCGGGCCTCTGTGGCTTCCAGCCCGCAGGTGGTTCTAATCCTGGGCGAGAGAGTGGAAAGAGCCGCCCGCTGCCACGGCCCCGTTGGTGTGCAGCTGCTCAGTGGACGCCTGTGCAAGGGGTGGCTCCGGTGTTCCCATCCACCCCGCTCCAGGCGCCCTCTGGGTCTGCACGTCCCACTGCAGGGATCCCCAGGGCACTCTGAGGACGCCAGACGGAGAGCCTTGTCCTGGGCACCACCGGAAGCTTCCCGCACCGCAGAACTCCCATGCCGGCCTCTCCCGCAGCAGTGCACCCAGCAAGGTCCCCAGAGGATTCAGAATGCATCCCACCACCCTCTGCAGGGAGCCAGACCACAGCACAGAGAGCCAGGCAAGGGAGGGGCTCTCCTGGTGATGGCGCTATGTAGTCCCAGAAGGGAGGGCCCAGTACCTAGGACGCCCTAAGGCTCCATCCTGCACCCAGTTCTCCGGCCTCCCCTATCTGGTTTCTGGAGACACCGGACCGGGGCAACAGCCAAGGTGAACAGTCTTGGAACTCAAATGCTAACAAAGCCTTTCACTCAGACGTTCCTAATTTGATGAAACGTCACCTAGCCTACCTCTGCTCCACCTATGGATGAAAACATGACATCAGGGAAGCCTTACCAGGTGTTAAAGAAAATTCATGGGAATCATGGACTTGGACCAGGCAGCGGCACTGGGCCCACACTCCCAACCCAAACAGATTCCTCACGGCCACGGGGCTGGGGCTGCAGCACAAGACCCAGAGGCAGTTCATTAATCAGGTAGTGAGCAATTAACTAGTTAAGAGGTGCCCGACTGGCAGGTGTGGGGACTGAACTGGAGCCCTGGTGCTGATCTGCCCACCTCACTTCCTGCTGTCCAGCAAAGCTGTCGCACCTGTCATGGAGTGGGGTCCTCAGCACCTGCTCCAGTTCTGGGAGCTGCCTGACTCGTGACCATTTCTCTGTGATAATGCTGTCCTCACATGGACTCCACTCCATGCACCTGGCCTATGGAGCTTCCTTCAGCCCCGGGAAAGAGTTGTCTCTGAACCTGAGCCCTGAGCCAGGTCCTGGCATATGCTCCCGGATGCTGACGCCCAGGGCTCTGACCCCCAGGGCTCCCAGGTCAGGGGAGGAACAGCGGCCACCAGGACTGGATAGGAACAGAGGACAGAGAAGGGGAGAGAGAGCCCCAAATCAGGCTCGGGGCCTCCAACAGGGGAAGGACAAAGGAAAGGCCAGTTGGGGGGTCACAGGAAGGAGTCAGCTCCCCACAGCCCCAGGACCCACAGATGCTGACAGCTCCCAGAAACCCACCCAGGCTGCCCATGGCACCTAAGGACCTAGCCCTACCCAGAGGCTTAGGGAAGTTGGGAGCTGTTCTGGGTGCTTCCTGGGGCAGCCACCCTGCAACCAGGGGCTCCTATTGCTCACACCCCCTTGACAGAGACAGAATCAGTGGCCAAGCGGCAGGGATATGAAGGTGGGCAGCAGCGGGCACTGGAGTCAGGACTCAGCCCAGGCCCTGGACCCGGTGCGGCTCCAAGCTGGCTCCTCCACACTCCCAGCGCTCTGCTCCCCCGTGTGTGAGCACAGGTGCCCGAAACCAACACTAAGTCCTTCATGTTTTTCCATTCACAATTTATTGACCTAATTGATTTCTGTTAACTTATAAATCTGTTCATTCTGGCACAGAGGCAGTAGTGCAGGGCAATCCATGGGCACCAACAGAGGCATCGAGGTTCTTCCCAGGCAGCAGCTGCTCCCCAGGGACGGAGGAGCCAAGGGATCCAGGCCTTGGGGCAGCGAGGATGAGGGACCTTCGACTCCTCTTCTGGAAGGGCGAGGACTGTGAAGCTGGGCATCTCGGAGTTCATCTTCCCGTGGATGATCATGGTGACCTGGGCAGCCAGAGAAGCCACGGGGTCCTGTCCTTGGGGCAGCGAGGATGAGGGACACTCTAGAGAGCACAGAGGCAAGGATTCTGGAGGCTGGATGTCTCAGAGTCCGTCTTCCCGTGGAAGATCGTGGTGACCTGGGGGCACCAGAGACACAGCTCAGCTGCAGCATCTGCTGTGTAGACCGTTTGGTGGCCCCAGGACCCTCCTGGAGTTGAGAGGTCAAAGGACTTGGCCAGGGACAAGCTTACATTGGGGGAATTTGGGCCTTGTCATGACATGGCCTGGTCCCTGGTTCCTGTCCCTGAGGGTGAGTCCCTTACCACCAAGAGGTCCTTCAACAGGAAGTTTTCTTGCTGGTGCAGATCAGGTTTCTGGGGCTTCTTTGGATCCTAAACCTTGTAGAGCCACCCGGACTGGGCAGTAGTTACCTGTGCAGGGGAGAGAGGGGCCCGCACTGCCACCACCCCTCCCCTGCAAACATGGGAGACCCCAACAGAGTCCCCTGAATCAGGCAGAACCTCGCAGTAACAACCCTTTCTCCCGCCCCCATGCAGACAGCCCCTGTCCCACCTGACAGCCTTCTCACCTTGGTCCAGGAGCAGCCATGGACACCTCCTGCCCCGCTCTGCCGAGGGACGCGGGAGCCACTGGGGACACAGAGGGCTTGGGGGACCTGACATCGGTCCCCACCCCAGGAAGTCCCCAGGTTGGAATTCTGGCCTCGGGATTCTTCTCCCTCTCCCGGGGCTCCCAGGAAGGGAGACGAGTGGTGCACAAATGAAAATGCAACAACAGAAATCAAATGAACAGAAATCAAAACACAAAAATGAACAAACTCACTCTGCTCCCGTTACCAACAGAAAACATGAACTGTATCCACTACACCACACCAACAAGGAGACTGTTCTATGGAAGAAAATGTTAAAATGAGAAAACACAAAATGAACATGAATGGTGGCAGGAAACAAAATAGAAAAAGTACAAAGTAACCAACATGGAAAAAGAAAAACAAATTTGACCCAACAGGAGCAGCAGGATCCGATTCTTCCTCCGGATTCCTCTCCCTCTCCAGGGCTCCCCCAGGAAGGGTCAGCAGGGCTGACGTCTGGGAGACCCCGAGCCAGCAGCTGACACAGATCAGCTCTCATGGCTCTGACTACTTGAGCACAAAGATGAAACAAACAGAAATCAAATGAACAGAAATCAGAACACAAAATGGACAAAGTCAGGTCACATCACCAACAGAAAACAGGAACCAAATGAACTCAACTGGACTAACAACTGAGACTAACCCTATCGAAACAGTTAAAAGTGAGAAAACACAAATACATAATAAACCATAAAGAAAAAAATCCCAAGAAACTGAACTGTATAACAACCAAAGCAGACGGCCTCACGGTCTTATTAAAGAAAGGGAATTAAATGAGAAAAAACTCAAAGTGAACAAAGGGAAACCCAAAATGTAAGAAAATATAAAGAACAACCAGAAACAAGGGGGAAGCCAAGGAAAAAAATGAAGAAAAAATACAAATGGAAATGAAATATCCAAGGAAAATCAATAAGTAAGGGAAAAAGACTATGAATGCTGGAGGAAAAAAATAGGAAAAAAAATAAACAAAACAGAAAAAGAAAAAACAAATTGGACCAAAAAAAAGCAGCTTGAAGAACAAAAACCAAACAAGTGAAACACAGGCAGCTGTTCCCAGCCCCAGGTCCCCGGGACAGCACTTCCTGGGCAAATGACAGAACCCAGGCCCAGCCAAGGCTTTGTGCAGGCAGCGGGCATGACGTCACAATGGCGCCTTCTGATGTCAGAGCAGGAAACCACAGCAGGTGCTGCCCCACGCTGGTTTGCACAGGAACCTTGCCACTTTAAAAAAAGAAAGAAATGAGAAATTCTTTCTCAGGTTGAGAGAGGGTTTGATTTTAGTGTTTTGAAATTAAACCCTGTAGGATATTTCAAACCTTTTCATTTCTAGTCTTAGCATCTTCCATAATTTTGCCTTTTGCAGACTCAATGTATCCACTCCTTTCTCTTCACCCCCTGAATGATCGCCTCAAACCATGGTGCAGCGTCACTGGCATCGCGACGCTACATCAAATGTTCTGTCACTCAAGTCAGCGGTGCTGTGACGGAGCTGTAAAGCCACGGCTCACGGGGCCTGCGTCCCATGTGAGTGTCTGTTCATGTCCCAGCTGCTCACTTCTTTGATTAAAAGGATTTGCTTACTTATTCGAAGGCAAATAGACGGAGAGGACAGAGAGAGGGAGACAGAGGAGACAGCACCACAAACTCTGTACACAAAACCCACAGCAAACATGACTGACCTGGCCCATCCCAAAGGCCACAGTGTGCAACCTGGTGGGGAAACCTCTCCTACAGAGCCTGCAGTGTGGTGGACTGAGAAGGCCAGGCCAAGATGGCCGCGGGCAACAGGCTGTGACTGGATGCTTACGAAAAACACATGACAGCAGAGTCTGCCAGGCAACAGGCTGTGATTGGATGGTTGTGAAAATCACATGACAGCGGAGTCAGCCTGCCAACAGGCTGTGATTGGATGGCGTCAGAAACTGCCTGGCTACAGGCTGTGATTGGTTAGGGCATAGACCGCCCCTTGACCGGATTGGCTGCCTTGGCTATATAAGCTGTTGTGGCACCTGAAATATAGGAGTCTGCAGGCTGCCTCTCTCAGGCCTGCTTTCACCCGACTCCCAGGGTCTGTGTGCTGACTCTGCACCTCTTGCCCCCACCGCGCTCCTCCTCCCAGAAACGAATCCACTGCAACATGCAGGGGGTGGGGGGCTCCTGCAGGTCCTGGTGTCCCGGATCTCGGGGGAGACCCCAGTACAGCCTCAGTCTGCCCTGAGGACTCGCCTATGGGCTCATCCACTGCTGGGAGCTTCGCAGCTATAACCTCACTCACTCTGGCCCCAGCCTGGGAGGCAGGATGACCACCACCATATCCCAGCGTGGGGGAGTGGTCAGGTCCATACGGGATCAATATGGGACACCCAGGGAGGCAGGAGTCCCGGCCTGGGGTGGAGTTCATAGGCCAGGAAAGGGAAGACAGCCACAGTAGGCACTGGGGCTTCCCTGTGTAGGAGAACAAGAGGGAACTCTGGGAGGTGCAGGTGCTCCCGGCCTGGCTGCTCCTGGGTCTCCCTGAGGACAAAGAAGGGGAGAGAGAGCCCCAAATCAGGCTCAGGGCCTCCAACAGGGGAGAGACAGAGAGGCAGGGAGAAGGGGCAAGGACAAAGGAAAGGCCAGTGGGGGTCACAGGAAGGAGCCAGCTCCCCCATAGCCCAGGACCACAGAGGCTGACAGCTCCCAGAACCCCGCCCAGGCTGCACATGGCCCCTAAGGACCCAGCACCACTCAGGAGCTCAGGAGAGTTGGGAACTATTCTGGGTGCCTCCCGGGGTGGGGGGGCCACCCTCCATGGCAGGGGCTCCTATTGCTCATGCAACCTTGACAGAGCCTAGAAACAGAGCCCCAGGGGTTGGGAAACTGAGACAGTGGCAGCAGCCAGCACTGGAGCCGGGACTCAGCCCAGGCCCCGGGCGCGGCTCCAAGCTGCCTCCTCCAGGCTCCCAGTGCTCCAACTCCCATGTGTGGTCACAGGTGCCCGTAACCGACACTGAGTCCTGACGATTTTCCATGCACATTTATCGACATGACATCTGTCATAAATTACAAACCTGGTAGGGACATCCGTGAGCACCCACACAGGGCTACAAGTTCTTCCCAGGCAGCAGCTGCTCCCCGGGGGACGGAGAAGCCATGGGGTCCTGTGCCTGGGGCAGTGAGGACGAGGCACACTCCACACGGGTATCCAAGGCAGCACCCACACGCCGTCCAGGCAACAGACTCCGGGAGCTGACATCACCTGGTTCCTCCAGTGGGAGTCCCCGGAGCCCTCAGAGCACTGAGCCCCAGGGTGCTGGGCTCCCCACCTCCTGGTCATGGACGCCTCGGGCCCAGGTGTGCCCTGCGCTGAGCAGTTTCCTGCACACACGTGCGGGTGCTGGCAGAGGCCGAGGCCGCCCCTCTGGAGATGAGGACCCTGGGGTGGGGGGCAGGAGTCAGCCAGGGCGGTGCTGTGTCTGCCCCCACCCTGGAGGAGCTGCAGCCTGCCAGGGCGGGACCACACGCCCACGGCCAGAGCAGAGCCCACAGTGCCTCCAGGAAGCCCCTTCTCCTTCCCTCTGTCTGCTGCCCATGGCCCTGGCCCCTCCTGCCAGCACTGGGCGGAGGAGTCACCAGCACCCGGGCCACCAGCTCAGCCCAGAGCGCACTCCCTCAGCCCGGCCTGGGACCTTGTAGACTGGGCAGGCAACTATTCTCCCCAGAGCTCCCCAAGTCCACACGTGGGTGTCTGCGGGTGTTTAGCAAGAAAAGGCAGAAACAGATTGGGGACCTGCTCCGAGGTCCTGCCCCCTGCCTCTGGAGGACACGTCCGCTCCAGGCCGGCTCTGAGCTGTGCCCAAACTCCTCTCCCATAAAACCCCCACACCAGTGCAGGCCCAGGCTCAACAGTCCCTGGGACCCGGGCGAGTCAATACAAAGTATTCCGAATGCTTAACACCTGAATCTCCCAGGGGCATACCAGGCCTCTGTGGCTTCCAGCCAGCAGGTGGGTCTAATCCCGGGGCGAGTGTAGGAGGAGCCGCCCACTACCACGGCCCCGTTAGTGTGGCAGCTGGCAGTGGATGCCTGTGCAAGGGGCAGCTCTGGGGCTCTGCACACTCAGCCATGTGGACCCTCTTGGATCTCACGTCCATAGAAAGGATCTGGAGATCACTCTGAGGACGACAAACTGAGGCCCTTGACGCCTGCCCCACATGGAAGCTTCCAAACCACAGAAATCCTAGCCCCACCCTCTCCTCACCAGTGTGCCAGAGAAGGTCCCCAGAGGAACCAGAATCTGCTCCAGAAATGGTTCTCCAGGGAGTCAGACCCACAGCACAGAGAGGGGCAGGGGAAGAGGTGTGTGAGGGTGGGGCTCACCTGTGATGGTGGCTGCCAAGTCCCAGGAGCGGCCAAGGTCTGCGAGGTGGGAAACCAGAACAGACGGAGCCCACTGGACCAGGACCCAGGAGACGCCGGGGTCCTTCTGGGTCTCAGGCTGCAGCCGTCAGTTCTGGGCCCACTGATGTGAGCTCCGCGGTAGAAAAGCCACAGAACCTGGGGCTCAGACCCTGACTGGGGAGAGCCCTGAGCCCTCCCTTCTGCTGCAGCCCTGTTCTCTCCCAGGTCCGGCTGATTGCATGGTGACGCCCACTTGAAGCAGATCTCAACGCATGCTCAGACTCTCATTTAGGCTCCACACACCGTCAAAGCCGGCCTGTGTCACCCAATCTTTCCCATCCCCAGGACACGAGGGGAGTGGGCCCAGTGTGTGCTGATGCCCCAAGTCTCCACCCTGCGCCCACACCCCATGTCCCCTGATCAGGTCACAGTGGCACCCGGACCAACCGTCCCAGCAGCAGGGGCCCAAGGCCAACAACGATCCCACAACTGAGATCCTAAAACACGGCTCTGTGCTCAGACGTTCATAACTCCAGTAAGACATCACCAGGCCACCTCTTTTCTCCTATAGGCGGAAAAATGATGTCACAGGAAGCCTTACCGGATGTTTAATAAAATTCCCAGGAAGCCATGGACTTGGACCAGGCTCCTGAACTGGGCCCCCAGAGCCACACAGCACAGCACACTGGGAGGGGAGGCAAGGAGAGGAGTAGCAGGACCGGACGCTGGCACCAGGCCCAGAGCTGTGTTACTGACCACGGCCGTCCAGGGCTCCTGACTGGACACACGAGTGCGCAGAAGGAAGGGGGTGGAAGGAGACTCCCAGGGCGCTGGGTCAGGAGTTGCCCTGCGGAGTCTCCTCTCTGCAGCGTGCAGTCGTGGGCCAGGCCTGGAATGGACGATTACAGAGCAGGTGAAGGGATCCACCCGGTGCTTGGTGGAGCCTGTGCTGCAGCTGCCCCTCCCACTGGGCTCCACCTGTCCCCCCTCTGGGACCCCCGGTTATCCTGGCCTGCCCACCCCCAGAGGACACAGCCTGCTCCAGAGGTGACCCTGGAGCTGGGCAGTGCCAGGAGCAGTGGGGGCCGAAACGGGGACAGAGTCGGGAACGGGCTCAGCAGGACCCGGCTCCCCACCGCCCAGTGTGCTGTTCCCTCCCCGGGTGGGCGGGCCCCTCTGTGACCCAGGCCACAGGCCCACGGGGGTCTCAGGGGCGGGCACTGTGACAGGTGTGAGGCTCAGGTTTGGCCGAGGAAGAGTCACAACCCCAGTGCCCTGACCCTCCTCCGTGCACGTGCGGTTCTCCACCTGGTCCCGAGGCCGCCGCTCTGACAGCCCAGACACTGCGTCCTCAGACCAGAGAGCCCCAGGTTCCGCTCCCCTGAGACTGCCCTATTCCAGGAGATTGATGGGCAGAGAGCAGGGAGGGACCAGCAGGCACTGCCTTGGGGTGGCCACCAGAGGGCAGCACAGGCCAGCCCACCACCCTGTGGCCCTGGCTCCTGGGATGTGTTCAGGAGCCACCAGGCAGGAGCTCCTGTCCAGGGCACAGGTGCAGCCCCTGGGGAGCCCGACCCTGATCACAGAGGCGCTGTGACGGGAATCCTGAGCTCTCAGGGGGAACAGAGCTGCCAACCCCCCTCCCAGGGACGCTCCGCCTCCTCCCCTTCCTCTTGGGATTTTCAGGCTGGGCTGAGAAGGGTCAGCTTCCCAGCAGGGACCTGCACCCAGCACTGCCCAACAGCACCTCTCCAGGGACCCAGCAGGGGGCGTTCACCCCATGCAGCCAGTTCACAGGGCAACCTGGGGCCTGGTGCCCTGCCTCCCTGAGCCTTGGGCCCTGCATTCGGCCTGCCCCTGCCCTTGGGCCTGGCATCAGGGATGGACATGGCCTGGAGACCTGGTGCCAGATGTGAGGACACAACCCTGACCCAGGGCCCCACGTCCCTCGCCCGAGTCCCTTTACCACTGGAAGGCCCCACTCTGCCCCTGAGGGCCAGTGAACATCTGCCACCCTCCTGACAGGGACAGCCCCAGGGCTCCAATCCTCCCAACCACAGACGCCATGCAGTGTCCTCCCTTACACACGCCCACTCTGAAGTTCTAACTCGCTGGGTGCAAAGGACCAGGGGCAGAGGTGGAGGCAGATCCCTCCCTGGTGGCCTGGTCAGTGCCCAGGGCTGTGACCG